TTTTGAATGAAGTTGTTATTTTCGATAAGCAAGATTCGTGGCATTTAAAATTAACTTCAACATTAAAATTTCTCTCTCTCTCTCTCTCTCTCTCTCTCTCTCTCTCTCTTTTTTTTTTCCGGCCCCTATCCTGCCATTTGAACAGAACACAACAGGGCAGAGGTCCCACTAGCAAAGAGGATAGGATCGAGCTCCTGAATCTGGACGTGTTTTATGCAGAGGTGCAGAAAAGCAGTTCAATCTCGATTTCCTGCACCTCTCCGCAATTACGTCCAGATTCGGGCATCCAATCCGATCCTCTTTGGTAGTGTGACCACGCCCCAGGAATTCCGGTCCCGGTGCATCTCCCCTCCCCCTAAATAATTAGAAAGCAATAGCCCTCCTTCTCCCCCTCCCCCTCTCCCCCCCCCCTCTCCCCTCTTTCTCCCCCTCGTGTAGCAGCAGGGGATCACATTCACGGGGGCCGAGGTCCCACAAGCAAAAAGGAATGGATGATGACCATGAATCTGGACGCGATAAGCAGAGATGCAGAAAAGCAGTTCAATCTCGCCTTTCTGCGCCTTTCCACAAACATGTCCAGATTCAGGAGTTCAATCCAATCCACTTTGCTAGTGGGACCTCGCCCCGGGTTGAGATGTGGATGGATTCCCGGCCTCTTTTTGCCATATAATGAATGATTGCTATTAAAAATAACAATCATAATAATAATAATAATAATGAAAAAGAGGCACGCTAAGAAAAAAAAAAAAAAAAAAAAAAAAAGGGCGGTTATTATAGCTGTATTTGGGGGGACTTTCAGTCGAAATGCAGTGACATGATTGGTTGTCCTTTTTTTGAAATTTTTCTTTCTTTGATATCATTGATTCGTTCTGACCGTAGCGCGAATAAGTAGTAGTTCCCCCGCCTCCGGGCAAAAAAAAAAAAAGAACGTAGAAGGTAGCAGCGGGAGGAGGAGAAGTGGGGGGTGGGGGAGAGGGCCGCGGGGCGATATAGGTTCGTCGCACCTGGTCGCCCTTTACGGAAAGGGCCCAGTATGACATGACGACGGTCTGTCTGGGCCTCGCTCCCTCCCTCACCAAATGTGCAAAATGAGAACGCATCTTCCGCCTTAAACTGGAAAGATACGCGGCCATTTTTGCTGTCTTTTAATCACTTAGTGAGTAGTGGAGCTGACGCCCTCTTTTTTTTTTTTTTTTAACGGTCTCTCGGTCATTATTACTCGTTGTCTATCTAAAGTCTCTCTTCTTCAGTACAAAAAAAAGAAGAAAAAAAGTCTCTCTTCTTCTTCTTCTTCTTCTTCTTCTGCTTCTTCTTCTTCTTCTTCTTCTTGGTCATGCAGGATTTTTTTTTTTTTTTTTTTT